TCGCTCCCGCCGCGGCGGCTGCGCAGTCGGCCCGTGGGTCGTGGTCGGATGTTCTCTCATCCTGGTTTGTGTTTATACTTGTTTTGTATTCTTGGCCCATGGGTCTTGGTCTCGTTTTCTTATACCTAGTTCGTTTTCTCGTAAGTTACCTCTTTCGGCCCATGGGACGTGGTCGCGTTTTGTCGGGCAAGGGTTCGTTTTCTCGTGTTCTCGATTTCTCGGCCAATGGGTCGTGGTCTCGTTCTCTCGGACCCTGGTTCGTTGTGTCGTTTTCGCGTTTTTTCTGCCCCTGGGTCGCGGTCTCGTTTTCTCGGACCTTGGTTCGTTGTTTCGTTTTCTCGTTTTCTCGGCCTTTGGGTCGCGGTCTCGTTTTCTCGGCCCCTGGTTCGTTGTCTTGTTTCTCGTTTTCTCGGCCCCCGGATCGTGGTTTTGTTTTCCCGGACGCTGGTTAGTATTCTCGTTTTTTCGTTGTCTCGGCCCCAGGGTGGTGGTCCCGGTTTTTCTGGCCCTGCTACGTTTTCTCGTTTTTTGTTTCTCGGTTCCTGGGTCGTGGTTCCGTTTTCTCGGACCAAGCGTTTTCTGGTTATCTCGGCTCTTGGGTCGTAGGTCGTTTTATCGTTATCTCGTTTCTTGTTTTCTCGGCCCCTGGGTCGTGGGTCGTTTTCTCGGGTTCTCGTTTTCTCGGCCCCTGGGTCGTGGTCTCGTTTTCTCGGGGCCCCGTTCGTTTTCTCGTTTTTGGTTGTCTCGGCCCCTGGGTCGTGGTTTCGTTTTCTCGGGGCCTGGTTCGTTTTCTCGTTTTCTTGTTTTCTCGGCCCTCTGGTCGTAGTTTCGTTTTCACTGACCCTGGTTTGTTTCCTCGTTGTCTCGTTTTCTCGGCCCCTGGGTCGTGGTCGTGTTTTCTCTGACCCTGATTCGTTTTCGCGTTTTCTGTGCCTTTGGGTCGTGGTCTCGTTTGCTCGGACTTTGGTTCGTTGTCTTGTTTTCTCGTGTTTTCGGCCCCTGGGTCGTGGGTCGTGGTCTCCTCTTGTCGGACCCTGGTCCATTGTCTCGATTTCGCGTTTTCTCGGCTTCTGGGTTTTGGGGTCGTTTTCTCGGCGCTGGTTCGTTGTCTCGTTTACTTATTTTCTCGGCTCATTGGTCGTGGATTCATTTTTCTTCGGACCCTGGTTAGTTTTCTCGTGTTCTCGTGTTCTCGGCCCCTGGGTCGTGGTCTTGTTTTCTCTGACCCTGGTTAGTTTGTTTGTTTCTTTGCCCATGGATCGTGGTCCCGTTTTCTCGGACCCTGGTTTGGTTTCTCGTGTTCGCCGTTTCTCGGCCACTGGATTGTGGTTTTGTTTTCTCTGACCCTGGTTCGTTTTCTCGTTTTCTCTGCCCCTGGGTCGTGGTCTCATTTTCTCTGACCCTGGTTTGTTTTCTCGTTTTCTCGTTTTCTCTGCCCCTGGGTCGTGGTCTCGTTTTCTCTGACTTTGGTTCGTTTTCTCGTTTTCTTATTTTCTCGGCCCTCTGGTCGTGGTCCCCGTTGCTCGGGCCCCGGTTCGTTTTCTCGTTCTCTTGTTTTCTCGGCCCCTGGGTCGTGGTCCCGTTTTCTCAGATCCTGGTTCGTTGTCTCGTTTTCTCGTGTTCTCGGCCCCTGGGTCGTGGTCTCGTTTTCTCTGACCCTGATTCGATTTCCATTGGGTAGTGGTTTTGTTTTCTCGGCCCCTGGGTCGTGGTTCCGTTTTCTTGGACCCTGGTTTGTTTTCTCGTTTCCCCGTTTTCTCTGCCCCTTGGTCGTGGTCTCGTTTTCTCGGGCCCCGTTTCGTTTTCCCGTTTTCTCGTTTTCTCGGCCCTTCGGTCGTGGTCTCGTTTTCTCGGGCCCTGGTTCGTTTTCTCGTTTTCTCGTTTTCTCTGTCCATGGGTCGCGGTCAAGTTTTCTCGGACGTTGGTTAGTTTTCTCGTTCTCTCGTTTTCTATGCCCCTGGGTCGTGGTTTTGTGTTCTCTGACCCTGGTTCGTTTTCTCGTTTTCTCGTTTCCTCGGCCCTTGGTTCGTGGTCCCGGTTGCTCGGGCCCCGGTTCGTTTTCTCGTTTTCTTGTTTTCTCGGCCCCTGGGTCGTGGTCCCGTTTTCTCTGACCCTGCTTCGTTTTCTCGTTTTCTTGTTTTCTCGGCCCTTGGGTCGTGGTCTCTTTTTCTCGGACGCTGGCTTGGTTTCTTGTTGTCTCGTTTTCTCGGCCACTGGGTCGCAGTCTCGTTTTCTCTGATCCTGGTTCGTGTTCTCGTTTTCTCGTTTTCTTGGCCCCTGGGTCGTGGTCTCGTTTTCTCGGACCGATGTTCGCGTTTTCTCGGCCTGGGTCGTGGTCTCGTTTTCTCGGGCGCTGGTTCGTTGTCTCGTTTTTCGTGTTCTCGGCCCCTGGGTCGTAGTCTCGTTTTCTCGGAACCTGGTGAATTGTCTCGGTTTCTCGGCTTTTGGGTTTTTGGGTCGTTTTCTCGGGCCCTGGTTCGTTTACTCGTTGTCTTGTTTCCTCGGCCCCTGGGTCGTGGTCTCATTTTCTCGGGCAGTGTTTTGTTTGCTCGTTCTCTCGTTTTGTCGGCCCCTGGGTCGTGGTCTTTTTTTCTCGGACCCTGGTTCGTTTTTTCGCGTTTTCTCTGCCCCTGGGTCGTGGTCAAGTTTTCTCGGACCCTGCGTCGATTTTTCGGACCCTGGTTCGTTTTCTCGTTTTCTCGTTTTCTCGGCCCCTGGGTCGTGGTCTCTTTTTCTCGGACCCTGATTCGTTTTCGCGTTTTCTCTGCCCCTGGGTCGTGGTCTCGTTTTCTCGGACCCTGTGTCGATTTTTCGGACCCTGGTTCGTCGTTTCGTTTTCTCGTTTTCTCGGCCCCTGGGCCGTGGTCTCGTTTTCTCGGGCCGTGCTTCGTTTCCTCGTTTTCGCAGCCCGTGGGTCGTGGTCTCGTTTTCTCTGACCCTGGGTCGTCATCGTCGTCGGTCGTCGGTCATCGGTCGTGCGTCGTCCGTCGCCGTCTTCGTATGACCTCGTCCTCGTCGTGACGACCACGACGAGGTCATACGAAGACGGCGACAGGGAAGGCGACAATGATGGCGACGGCGGCGACGACGACGACGAGGACGACGACGGCGTCGTACGAAGACGTCAAGCGACGGCGACGGCAACGACGACGGCGACGGGGGAGGATCGTCCGGCAGGGGGAGTTCAAGGGAGGGGGGTGGTAGATTATAAGCCATCCCCCCTTTTTGGAAAGAGGGGGAGGGGAGGGTAGCTTCCGGCAGGGGGAGAAAAATGGAGGGGGGGGGGGGGCTTGCGGCAGAGGGGGTTAAAGGAGGGGGGTAGCTAAGCTTTCCCCCTCTTTCGTAAGGGGGGAGGGCGGGTAGTTTCCAGGGTGCCGAAAGGGGGGGAGGGGGGGGCTGCTAACCCCCCCCCTTTGGAACCAAAGGGGGGAAGGGGGGGGTAGCTTCCGGCAGAGGGGGTCAAGGGGAGGGGGGGGGTAGCTAAGCCCCCCCTCCCTTTGGAAAGGGGGGGGGGGGTAGCTTCGGAGTGGCGAAAGGGGGAGGGGGGGGTAGCTTCAGGGGGGAGGCGAAAAAGGGGGGGAGGGGGGGGAGCTTCCAGCAGCGGAGGTGGAAGGGAGGGGGGGGTATGAGGGGACCCCCCCCTTGGCTCCGGCGCTGGGAGGTGAAGGGGAGGGGGGGTGGTTCGAACCGCGTCTCCCCCCCAGTTTTCCGCTGCCCCACTGTCCCGAGGAGCGGGAATTGTTTGCCTGCGGCGAAGGGGGGCGGGAGGTTCGAACCGGTAGTGACCCAACCGGGTTTCTGGAGGGGTGGGGGGGGGGGGGGGGTCGAACCAGTAGTGACCCCCCGGTTTTCCGGAGGGGGGGGGAGGGGGGGGAGGGGTTAGGAGGGGGGGTTGCCGGGGAAGAAGGGGGGGGGGTCCAGCAGGGGGAGGGGGATTTTCGAAGGGGGGGGGGAGACCCCTGGGTCCTGGAGGAAGAGGGGGGGGAATCTTCCACGGTAAAGCGGCGGTGGATCACGCTCTCTCTTATCTGTAGATGTAAGGCTGGCGCTTTCTAAGAAACAGCCTCCTTCTAAGAAGTCCTCCCCCCCACTCCACCCCCAATTGTGCGCGTCGCCGACAAGCTGAAGCTCCCGGACTTCGCCTCCTCTTTGTGCTGCCGCGCGTGTCCGCCATCTCGCTGTGAGGGAGGGCGCAGGGAGATTTAGGGGGGGGCCCAGGAAGGCCCACCCGTAATCAAGCGTTTGACACACCTTCTTAGGTGCGGAAGGCCACGCTCGCTGGAGCTTGGAGCAAAACAATTGTATATGCTGGGCCTGGCGCGCCGCGGGGCCCTCACTCGTGAGAACGCCTCGAACCAAGCGAAAAGCCACTGGAAAGGCTCCCAGGGGCCTGACACACACACACACACACACACACACGCACGCACGCACGCACGCACGCACGCACGCACGCACGCACGCACGCACGCACGCACGCACGCACGCACGCACGCACGCACGCACGCACGCACGCACGCACGCACGCACGCACGCACGCACGCACGCACGCACGCACGCACGCACGCACGCACGCACGCACGCACGCACGCACGCACGCACGCACACGCACACACACACACACACACACACACACACACACACACACACACACACACACACACACACACACACACACACACACACACACACACACCACACACACACACACACACACACACACACACACACACACACACACACACACACACACACACACACGCACACACACACGCACACACACGCACACACACACACACACGCACGCACGCACACACACACACACACACCGCGTTGCACCGCGCGGCATGGCGACTTGTTCGCAGCCCGACGCCCTGACACGGCGGGCTCCCGCAGCGCCAGGCTCGAGCCCCGTCCCGGCAGAGGCGCCGGGCCGCGCCGCCGTCATGGGGTGCAGCTGCGCCAGGCCCCTGCCCGGGAGGCCGGCCTCCCCTCCGCCGGAGGCGGCGGGGAGCCCCGCGTGGGAGCCGCAGTCCAGCGGCGTGGCCGAGCCGCCCCAACAGCAGGCGCTCGAGAGGGCCACCGCCCCGCTCGGCGGGGAGCTCAGGGGAAGCGTTAGGGGGGGGGGGGGATATGCTCGAGTCGGGCACGTCCCCCTGCAGGAGGAATACCCAAGAATTGCAAAACAAATGATATGGTGACGACTGTGCTCTTTTGACTAGTTCTAGTGATTAGTTGGCCATCTTCTTTTCCTTCCAACACCAGCCTGTATGAGAACAGGCTCGTCCTAAGAATAGGCTGAGCGCGGGATACATCGACCCTCAATCACCCATTGATTGCCGAACGGGGCGCGATGGCCGCGATGGCCCACCCCGCACAGGAACGTGCGGATCCGCTGCCGGGGACCAGCCGCAGACCTCTCGGAGATGTATCGCCGAGTCCAGCTCGACGCGTCCCGCCCTGAGCTGGTCCCCCTCTGCCGCTGCCCCTCAGGAGCGGGGCCCACCGCCGCAGCTGCTCCCAGACGCGGCCCTGGAGGACCTGGACGAGGGGGCCCGGCCCCCGCCCGACCTGAGGAGCGGGTCGCCAGCGGTGCGCGCCGGCGCGGCGCGGCACGGGCCCCACGCGGTGTCGGGGCCGTCCGACGAGTTCATCGGCCAGGCTTGTATGCCTTGGCCGGGCGCCGCGGACGGGCATCAGGCCCTCGTCTACGCAAAGGCCGCGAGGACGGCCGCGGGGTACCTCGCGAAGCGGACGCTGGACGCCAAGTGGGTTGCCTCGCACGTCGACCTGGCATACTACTGCAAGGTGCCGTTGGCGCTCCTGGAGGTTGGCATGGAAGCGGAAGCCGCGCAGGCCCTGGACGTTGCCCTGCCGCTCTGTAGGGACGGTGGGCAGGGCAGTGCCAGTGAGCTCTACAGCACCCTGTATCCACAGTGGCCGTGGCTGTGCATCGGCATGGCTGCCGTGCGGCTGGACCGCCGCGAGGTGGCCCAGATGTGCTTTGACCGGCTCGACGCCTACGTGCACCCCATCACTGGCAGTGGCCTGGTGCAGGAGCCGCTGGGCAGCATCACCAGCTGGGAGGCGGACGTCTTCTCCACCGCACTGGCCACAAAGGCGGCCCTCGTTCGGGGTCAGGGCCAGCACGCCGCCACGTCTGGGGACTCTCTGCTGCGCGCCCTGGAGGCCAACAGGGATAACATGAAGTCCCGCCGCTTCAGCCTGCGATGGTCGTGGGCGGACGGCTTTAACGAGGACGAGCATCCTCTGTGTTGTGTCACACAGGACGGGAAAGGTCAGCTATACTCCATGCTAGGCTTCCCCGCACTTGTTCTCCTGGAGCTCTCCATGGGCGCCGCTGGCAGTGCCATTTCTCCCCAGCGGGCCGCGGCGTTCCGAGAGGGGGCCTCGGAGCTGCTGGGGTTCCTGAAGGGCTGCAGCGGCCTGGTGGGAAGCTCCACGTCTCACTCGACGGCGCTCGCCGCGGCGATGGCGTGCGACCACGAGGCCGCCACAAAGATCGGGGACGCCATGCTCGCCATGCGGACACCATCGGGCATCTTCTCCACCCAGAGCGACGTGGACACCGTGGAGTCCTTCGACCAGTCTGCAGACATTGTGCTGATGCTCAGCCGGATGGGCAAGATGATGGGCGGGACGACGCGGCTATGACCGGCGGCGCGCTCCCGCATGGCCATGCGTCCGCAGGCTGCCGCGAGCGTGTGCGACCCGCAAAAACACTTGTGAAAGTCGCTGAGCGAAGGACCCAACCAAGTTTCGAAAAACAAGAAACTGGAACGATCGGAAATGGCTACAGAAAAGCAATGGCGAAGAGCGACAGCAGTCCCTGCCCATTTTGAACGGGCTCGCTTTCGGCGTCGCCAGGGACGTCGTCCATTTGAGACAGATGGTCGCCTGCCCAACAGCTGCTGCTGTCGGAGTTGGGCAGCACCAGCTGTTGGGCATTGTACCAATTTGTTTCGTACCCATTTCGGGCTCGCCCAAAGCAATTGCAAGTTTTTGTGCTCCCTCGACTCTGTGTGGCTTCTTCGGGCTGAAAGGGTTGGGCTGGATGTTTTCTATTACAGAAGTCTGGGGGCCTCTTGGGCATCCCGTGTTCGTACATGTCAAGAGTCAGCAACGATGAGGTTTTAAGAAGAGTGTCAGTTCAACCGCTTTCGAATACTCTCGCTTCAAGGCAGGTCGCATTGTACAAGAAAATTGCGAGCAACAGCGCCAGATCTTTAGTCAGGGAGGTTCTGTGCAACCCCGACGTGCCCCGCGAAACTGGGCGACCTGGAGGCAACGATGCCGCCCCCAGCAGCAGTGGGCAACAGAAACATAGAATGGCTTGATCATCTCAGCGTTTTGTTATGGTTCATTTCAGGTCCTCCTCTTTTTCTTCCTACCCTCCTCCTCCTTCTCCCCTCCTCCTCCTCTTCCTCCTCCGCTGTTGGTTTGGGACAACATTTGTTGTTGAGCATCGTACCCATTCTTTCCGGGCCCATCTCGGGCGTCCGAAGCTTTGAACAGATCACGACGTCGGAGTTCTGGGTCTTCCTCTTCGGCCTTTCCTCCCCTGTCCGTTCATTCGTCCCCCCGGGTGCCGCTGCCTGGGCCGTGGCCTGCCCGGGCGCCCCCGCGCGGAGCACCAGCGACTTTGAAGGGGCACGAGGGAGGCTCTGAAGCGGGGACGGTGCCGAGAGGATGTTCGGAGGTTGCCTGAGATGGTTTTGGCCCCACTTGCCCCCAGCCTCCCGCGCCAGTTTGGGCCCCCGGGTGTGCTCTGGGCTTCGTGAGAGGCGCTCTGGAAGCCGTTCGGGCCTCTGTGCATAGGCTGGGACCACCTCGGGCCAGGGTCGCTTCTGGGAACATCTGGAAGAAGGGGGAAAGACCAGCGAGCGGGACACGGGAAATTGTATGATGAAAACGGCGACGAGACAAAGGTTGGGGGCAAGCCATTGCCAGGGGTCGGGGTTATGCTCCGTGGGAGTGCCCGAGGCGATGAAGATTGTGGTCGAGACCTTGGCCTTCCAGCACCTAGACCTCGACGTGACCATCCCACGGACTGCGGCCTCGTCCTGCTCCTCCGCATCCAACTCGTTAGTGTCTTCTGTCTCATCTGCGCTCCTGCCGTCCGCTGCCTTGTTTGCTACAGCGATCAGCATGTCACCATATGTCACCGCCTGAGGCAGGTGTTTGAAGGGCTTCGCCTCACGTGGGCGATTGCGGGGTCGCATTCGCTGGTGGGTTAGACTGCGACTTGCGGAGTGGTGCGTAAGTTGAACTGCCATCATGTCCCAAATGCTTGCTTCGACCTGGGTGGCGACTTCAGCTGTGCTCGCCGTCAATGCCTTGAAATTCTTCGTGCGGCGGAGACGCTTACTATATTCTTCCGTGGGCAGTGTCGGTACGGATGGCCCAAGCTGCACCGCCCTCCCTCGCCTGCCCCACGACCACGCGAACGTGCAAGCGACTACTTCTTCAATAGAAGGTACGATCCTGCAGCCCGAACGGCTTCAGCTTTCAGGGCTGCCCCCGTCAATCTTGACATGCAGCGATGGCGGTGTACTTGTCGAGCCGTTGTCTCGAGCTGTTTCGTCCGAGGCTCGCCTGGACGGCCAAGCTGCAGCGCGCCCTCCCCCCCCCGCAGAGGGTCTCCGGGGCCTATGGCGGCGAAGGTAATGACCGACGACACCGACCCCAGCGCGGCCTACGTCCTACGTGGATGCCAGCGCTACGACGAAAGAGGAGGAGGGGGAGGAGGAGGAGGAGGAGGAGGAGGAGGAAAAGGAGGAGGAGGAGGAGGAGAGGAGGAGGGAGGGAGGGAGGGAGAGAGGGAAGGAGGGATGAGGGAGGAGGAGTGGCCCCCCGTGGAAGCTGGCGGTCCTCGGCCTGCCCCAGGTGAGCGTGCCGATGCTCTGGGCCTGCCGGATCCGAGCACCGCGATCTTCTGGGGCGCGCCGGACAGCGCGGCGGCGCTGCTGCTGCAGTTCGGGGGCGACGATAGAGAGGGTTGAACAGCCCAGGGGCGGGCGTGACACGTGTTTACCTGGGAGCCTCGCCGAAGGCATGGACCATCGGCGCCCCTGGATACACGTATTGCTCTCCCCTGGGCTATTCGCCCCCATCGTCGCCCCTGAGCAGTGCGGGCCGTTCACCGGGGTCTTCGTGGGGCCCCTCGAGGGGGCAATCTACGGCAGGCTCGCCTCGCGCTTCGGGCGCCGCAGGCCCGTCATCTTCGTAGGGCTCGTGTCCAAGTGGATTGCAAGGATGCTCTTCGCCGGGGTCGACTACGTGGTGCAGGGCGAGACTTGCTGATTCGCCGGCGCGATGTTTCTGGTGATGGACGTGACGATCAACGTCCTGCAGACTCCGCACCGTGATCTTGTCGCAGACCTGGCATCCGAGGACCAAGCCCTCCCAACGAAGGTCATTTTTGCATGCCTCATGGGCGTGGGGAACGCGTTGGATTCACAATGATGAAGCTATACCCCAAAGCCATCGCACACAAGGTCGAGCTTATGGTCCTGGCTTGTGCTCTTAACACCCATCCTGTCGGAATCCAATCTGCGGTCGCAGAGGAGACGCAAATACGTTTGGAGCCTGGTGAGCGTCCCAGCGTGTTCCAGCCAGTTATTGATGTTGCCCAGGCTGTCACAGGCAGCCCCAAATTGCTCTACCACTTGGCATTCATGCGTTGCCTCGTATGAGCTGGACTGAGTGTGGAACTCGTTCGGGGGGCAGTGGTTTGGCGTGTCGGTGTACGAGGGCGATTTCAGAATAACTGCAAGAGAAGAGGAGGCGGATAGGTGGGGCGAAAACCAGCGGACATTCTCCACCGCCGGCCTGGGGGAGTCAGTCGCGCAGCTGGTGAACTCGCTGCTCATCATCTTCGTCATGCTGGATAAGCTGGTTCCCCCGCGGCTGGTACACGCTCCGTGCATCCTTGTGGGTGCCGTCGTGAGTATCGTCGCCGCGTTCTTCGTCGGGCACTACTGCATGCTTGCACTGCTGCGCATGATGTTCTCCCTGCTGCCCCAGGTGGGCTCCTTCGCCATCCCCTTTCGGCTTCGTCGCCGTGCTCAAACAGCGGGCGGAGAGGGAGGGCAAGCACGTCAGCACGGCCCTGCAGATGGCCCTTGTGAACCTTGGCGTCACCGTAGTCCAGGAGATTACCATTGTGTTGACGGGGCCGCTGGATCATGGCAGGTCTATCGCTGACGCCCTGAAGATCGAGTTCTCCTTGGCGGGCGTCATGCTGACGATGTCCGGCATCGGCGCTGCTGCTGCTGGATGACAGGGACGAGGACGACACAGACAGCGACGGTCCCAGCTGAGGGACAAGGACAGCGACGGCAAGGACAGCGGCGACTCCAGCTCAGGGTCCAGCTCAGGTTCCAGCTCAGCATTAGGCGCTGGCCTGGGCTCCGGCAGGACTGGGCCGCGCGCAGTGGGGCATGGCGGTGAAGCAGTATTCCTCGCCTTGGATGGGACGGGTGTTCGGCCGGGGAGGGGCGGTTCGAGGTCCTGGTCCATGTTTGCATCCGCGCGAATCCTCATTCTTTGTCCGCCCTGGCGTGGTTGGAGCCATGAGGGAAGGACCGGGCGCTTTATCAACGGCCACTTCCTGGCTGAATGGACGCAGGGGCTTTGGGGCCACTTCGCTCTTCGCAGAGCGCCCGTGGTCAGGACACTGGCTCCAGCTTCTGCTGCCGTGCTGCTGCTGCCGTCGCCGCGAAGGTTCCTCCCACCTGCTCTCCACGTGTCCGCAGCTACTTTGGCTCCAGGCCGCTCTGGTTCGAGGGGAGCCGCAGCGGCCGCTGCCGCGGGGCCGGAGGTCGGCCCCGACCTCAAGCGTGCCCATCGGGGAGGCGGGGAAGGGGTGCCATGTCGTCGCTGCTGCCGCCGCCGCTCGGTCTCGCTTCCCACGCGCTTCACCTTGAACCTTCTCCTCGTCCTCCTCCCCCTCCCTCCTCATCCTCCTCCTCCGCCTCCTCCTCCTCCTCCTCCCTCCTCCTCCTCCCTCCTCCTCCCTCCTCCTCCTCCTCCTCCTCCGCCTCCTCCTCCTCCTCCCCTCCTCCTCCCTCTCCTCCTCCTCCTCCTCCCTCCTCCTCCTCCTCCTCCTCCTCCTCCTCCTCCTCCTCCTCCTCCTCCTCCTCCTCCTCCTCCTCCTCCTCCTCCCCCTTTCCCTCCACCTCCGCCACAGCATCGATCATCGGGCATCGAGGGGGAGAAAGAGGAGGAGGAGGAATCTGAGAATCTGAGGTTGAGAAGAGGTCGAGCAGGAGCAGGAGGAGGGCCCTCCTCCTCAGCAGCTCGCCCAGAGCCGCGGCCGTCACCGTGCCCAGGACGGCTATCTTCCGCGACGCCATCGTCGACCTGCTTGTGGTCGAGCTGGGCGCGCGCTACAGCAAGAAGGCATGGCAAAGTCGGCGCCGTCGCCGCTTCGTGCCAGCGTTGAGCATATCTCAGTATGTACTGTAACCCAGGCTTGTTCTCGTCGTGAACAAACCCTACGGGCGGTTTGAGGAGGTTTCTGGGCCCCAGGATTGTCAAACAACGGCTCGGGACAGACACCAGTCTTGGAAAAGGGGTTTACGGCCTCGTAGCAAGGTGTCGTCGTAGCGTCGTAGCGCCGACGTTGTGCTCGTAGATTCTGTACCGTTCGCAGGTTACCGTGCTGCTCGCAGACTGCTGTGGTGTTCGCATGCTTGTTGCCCGTGCTCGCGGACATGGTACGGCGCTCGCATGCTATTCTGGCACTGGCACGTTATCCTGGCGAAGGACCAACCATATGCAGTTGTGAGTACCGTCGTTGCGGGAATGGCCTTCGGGGGACCTCCTCATGGGGCCATGAAGCATGCGAAGGGTGTGCCGATGTGGAGCGGGGCCGCCATGTGGGCGCTGCCATTGAGGCTTTATGCGGAACCCACTATGGGGCCGCGAAGCGTGTGAGGGCGCGCCAAAATGGGGCGGGGCTGCCACTGGGACCTTCGGAGGAGCTCCCTATGTGCCACGAAACGCTCTACTGTGTGGGAGAAACGCATGCGGACACCGCCACTGGGGCCTTCGGTGGAGCTCCCTATGGGGCCACGAAGCGTTGCACTGGGCGGGAAAAACGCATGCGAGTGCAGCCACTTGTGCCTTCGGTGGAGCTTCCTATGGGGCCGCGAAACGCTGTACAGGGTTGGGTCCCGCATGCGAGAGCAGTCACAGGGGCCTTCGGTGGAGCTCCCTATGGGGCCACGAAGCGCTGTTCTGGGTGGGGGAGACGCATACTGATGAGGGCAGAAGCAAGGGGGGGAGGGGGGGGAGGGGGGGGGGGGAGGGGGCCCCTGATTTCTCACCCCCCGCCTTCGGGGTATCTTCAGGCCAGCGACACAGAGGATCGCGCTCCCTCGGCCGTCTTGAGCTGACAACAACCCGAAAAGGCGAGATTGCGAAACTCGTTCAACAACCTATAGGAACCTAAGGATGTTGGCTTCTTCGGACCCTGTTGGACGTCCCACTGTGGCCAGGGACGAGGGGTCTAGAAGGTAGCAACCATGCGGGAAGTACGCAATCCTTGAGCGGGCGCGCATGGAACGAGGATTCAGGCATTAGTTGACATGCTGGAAGTGATACATCCTCGAGCGGACCCGCGTGGAAGGGGGTTCAGGCTTCAGCTGCCATGCGGGAAGCGCACCATCCTCGAGAGGGCACGCGTGGAAGGGGGGGGCGGCATTAACTGCCATGCGGGACGTGCACCATCCTCGAGCGGGCACGCGTGGAAGGGGGGGCGGCATTAGCTGCCATGCTGGAAGTGCACCATCCTAGAGCGGTCACGATGGAGTGGCCCCACTGAGCAGGGCGGATGTACGCAAGAGTCTGCGGGTACAGGGAGATGCGGTGATGCGGTCCTGTCTTAGAAATCGGAGAGCCCTACCAGACAGATTCGTTCTTTTCTACGCCTCAACGTGCCAGGGGGCACGATGGCGGATCTTCGCCGTCGTGTCGCGTCGTCGTGTCGTGCCGTCGTTGTCGTCGTGGCCACCTCCCGGCCCTGCGGTCCTGGCCCTCCCTGGCAGTCCTGGCCTCCAGCCTCTCCGTCCTCGCTGGCCTCCCCCCCCCAGGGTTTCGGATTGCTTTGTCGTCGTCGTCGTCGTCGTCGTCGTCGTCGTGTCGTCGTGACGTGTCGTCGCGTCGTGCCGTCGTATCGTCGTGGCCTTCCCTGGCCCCCTCTGCCCTGGCCTCCAGCCTCCCAGTCCCGGGTGGTGGTGGCAGCCAGCCCTTGCATCCAGTCTCTCTTGGCGCCCCATGGCCTCCCGGGCCTCTCTGGCCTCTCCCCCCCCCCCGCCGCCGCCGTCGTGCGCAGCACTTTGCTCGCGGGTCGTGCAAGAGTCAGGGCGCGCGCGCCCCCTGTGGCAGCTGCGGCAGCTGCGCAGGCCTCGACTGTTTTCGGTGGGGGCTTCGGCCAGCCCGAGGTCGGGGAAGGGGAGCTCTGGCCTAGACGACACGCTGGTTTTCCCGGACACGCGTCGGGCAATTTCTTCAGGTAGCAGTTTGCGGAGCCCTGCGAGGTCGATCAGCACAGTCTCACCCACTGGGTGGCCCACGCGGTCGCGAGCCAGAGGGATGTCAAATCTGTTAGGAGGATCGCCTGGCCGTGCGTCTCTATTCCCTCTGGTGCCCCCCTCGATCTCCATCCGCACTCCGGGACAGATGGCAACGCCATGGATCTTGACGGAGCCCTCGGACCACGCGCGCGGCTGCCTGCATCGTCGTGCTCACTCTCTTTTTTCGCGTGTTGTGATGGTATCAGGGCCTAGCATGCTGTTTCGTACACTGTTGCGATCGCAAGTCGGCGGCGAGCGATGGGGGGAAGCGAGAAGGAAAAGGCCCTCTCAGAAGGCGGCGGGGCTGCTCAGAAGCCTCCGCGCCCTCTGAGAAGTGCCCTGTGCCATCGGGGAAAGCTCAGAAAACTGGTTTCCAGAAGGCGGAGGGACTTCCGAGCCTCCTGAGGAGGCCCACCCCCTCTCGCTTCCCCCCCACGGGCTGGCGGCCGAGCAAGGCTGCTGCGGCTCTGGCAGGGTCTGTCTTCCTTCTCGTCGTCGTCCAGTGGCGTCCCTCGCGCACGGTGCTCGCGGGCATGCTGCTGCGCGCACGTGGCGCTACGACCGAGCCTTGCCGCAAGACTGACGCGCGATCGCGGCGCTGCGGTATTACTGGGGGCCCGGCGGATTGGGGTAGGAGGCGTTACGTTGTGCCCGCCTCCCCCCTCCGCTCCCGCTCTCCCATGGCGCCCACTATGGCCACGAATAAGAAATATCCCAGCATTCACGACTGTCGGATATCTCTGTATCCCTAAAACTGACCAGCCCAAGGCGATTCTGATATTGGGGATGTGCATCAGTAAGTTAGGGGTAACTTTTTCAGATCGGCACCGATATGAATCGATGGCAACTTTAGTTTCGGGGATCCGTTCCAGGCTGGTGAGCTGCCTCCGCCGCCATCGTCGCCGTCAACGCTGTCGCCGTCGTCCTCCGAAGGCCCGGGAGGGTTGGAGCATCATGCTCAACTACACCGGCGGTGCTTACATCTACACGAGGCCCGAGCTGCCTCCAAGTGAGGTGGGAGAGGGGGAGGGGCGCAGGGGAAAGGGCGGCAGGGAAAAAGTGGGGAGGAGGAGGAGGAGGTCGTGCGCTGGCGGCAACGGTCCGCTTTCAGCTGAGGCGATAGGAGTGGAGCGAACTCTGGTTGCGCATCCACGGGCGAGGAGGAGGAGGAGGAGGAGGACCAGTTGAAACTCAAGAGTCATCAACGATGTTGGAATTAACTCTCCCTCCAATCTCTCTCTTCATAGGCCCCTACAACAGTTCATTTCCATTGAGGGGGCTGCCTCGGTGGAGGACAACAGCTTCAAGATCCTGAAGCGTGCCAAAGCATTGTTCTCGGGATTTCAGCGCCACGTATCAACCTGACTGCTGCGTCTTGACGCTTCAGAATCGTGCCACAACGCCATTTTGGGGATTTCAACACAGCGAATCAACATAGCTGTTGCGCCCGCATAGTCCTGAACCCTTCCCAAACACCACCATGTCTGGTGCGCTGAGCATGGGAAGCCGTGAAACTCTTGCAAATGAGAAAAAACGAATGTGCGCGGCGCTACTCGAGAGCCGCAATTTTGAAAAGCAGCTGCCTTCAATCCGTGAATTTCTTGCAACTCTTTGAAAACAAATGTGCGCGGCGCTAAGGCGAGAGCCACATTTTGAAAAGGAGCCGCCTTCAATCCGTGAAACACTTCCCATTTTGTTTAACAAATGTGCGCGGCGCTGAGGCGAGAGCAACATTTTGAAAACGACCCGCCCTCAATCCGTGAAGCTTTTGAATTTTGTTGAAAACAAATGTGCGCGGCGCTGAGGCGAGAGCCACATGTTGAAGACGACCCGTCCTCAATCCGCGAAGCTCTTGCAATTTGCTGAAAACAAATGCTCGCGGCGCTAAGACGAGAACCACATTTTGAAAACGGCCCGTCCTCAATCCGCGAAGCGCTTCCCATTTTGTTTAACAAGTGTGCGCGATGCTAAAGCGAGAGCCACAGTTTGAACACGACCCGCCCTCAATCCGTGTAGCTCCTGCGAATGTTCAAGACGAGTGTGCGCGGCGCTAGGGCGAGAGCCACAGTGTGACAGCGACCTGCCTTCCATCAGTGAAAGTGTTGACACGTCTACAGCGTGGGGGTCTCAGGCGAAACGCCCAGCCCGCCCTACAAATTGGCCTCGGGGTGCGACAGGGGGGAATTATTTATAAGGAGACGGCATGGAGGAGGAGGAGGACGAGGAGGAAGAGGAGGAGGAGGAGGAGGAGGAGGAAGAGGAGGAGGGAGAGGGGGGGGAGGAGGAGGAGGAGGAGGAGGAGGAGGAGGAGGAGGAGGAGGAGGAGGAGGAGGAGGAGGAGGAGGAGAGGAGCAGAGAGCAGGAGCAGAGCAGGAGCAGGAACAGGGCAGGAGCAGGAAGTGGAGCAGGACCAGGAGCAGGAGGAGGAGGAGGGGGAAGGAGGAAGAGGGGAGGAGGAGGAGCAGGAGGAGGAGGAGGAGGAGGAGGAAGGAGGAGGAGGAGGAGGAGGAGGAGGAGGAGAGGAGGAAGAAGAGGAGGAGGAGGAGGAGGAGGAGGAGGAGGAGGAGAGCAGCAGCAGCAGCAGCAGCAGCAACAGGAGGAGGAGGAGGAGGATGGGGTGGAAAAGGGGAGGCGGGAAGGGGATGGGGGAGATACGAGAGGAGGGACCGTGGAGGGCACCACCCCTCCCGCCCCCATTCCCCCTCCACCCCCATCCTGCATCTGTCCTGCATCCGTCCTCCCCTCCCGCCTGGCCCCGCCCCGTCCTCTTCCCGTCCCTGCCCTCCCTCTCCCCTCGTCTCGGGAGGGGAGCCTTCCCTGCCATTCCTCGGGAGCCCGAAGGCCCCTCCAGAGCCCTTCCCGCCCGTCCCCTCCCCAGAGCCCTCCCCTCCCAGAGCCCCCGTGGCCCCTCCCCTCTTCCTGTCCCTTCCCCCCTCCCTGTCCCCCTCCTCGTCAGCCGCCGCCCCGGCTCGAGGTTCTGTGCGCGGATACCAGTTATCCGTGAACCTGTCTCGGGGCAGCTGCCATGCGCGTCGGCCCGCGCCTGTGAGGCGAGCGGGTCCGGCCGCGACACGAGATGCTTCCTGGGGCGGCCGCGCGGCCGGCCCAAAGGCCCCTGGCGGCGGCGCTCTGCCGCCTGGGCTGGGCCGCGCGGCGCCGCTGGCCAATCCGAGGCGCAGACGTCGCCCTCCTGGCGCGCAGGGTCGCGCAGGTGCTGGACGAGAAGATCGTCGTGAAGAAGTCTGTGGAGGACCTCGGCGAGGTCGACCTGAAGGGAAAGACGGTGCTGATCCGATGCGACCTCAACGTGCCCCTGTATGTTGACAAGGAGATCCCGGACGAGCACATCACGGCCTAGTTCCCGAAGGATACCAAGTGCGCCCCGGAGCGCAAGGCCCACGACGAGGTGAAGGGGGAAACCAAGTTTGACCCCGACCTGGCAGAGTGCCTGGCCAGCCTGACGGGCCTGTTCGGGAACGATACGCTCGGCACCACGCACCGGGCCCACTCCACCGAGGACGTGACCGAGCTCCTGGAGACGAGCGTCACGCGCCTCCCGCTGAAGGAGGAGCTGGACAACCTGAAGGGTGCTGTGGTCTCCCTGAATGCGGACCGGAAGATCACGGACGAGTTGCGCATCACGGCTTCGATCCTGACGACCAAGGGCGCCAAGGTGCTGGAGTGCTCCCAACTGGGCCAACCCGAGGACGGGCCCGAGGACAAGCTCTCGCTGAAACCAGCGGCGAAGAAGCTGGGAGAGCTGCTGACGAAGGACGCCAAGTGCGCCCTGGACTGCAAGGCCCACGGCAAGGTGAAGGGGGAAAACAAGATCGACCTCGAGCTGGCAGACAGACTGGCCAGCATGACGGACCCGTTCGCGAACGGCACGTTCGGCACCACGCACCGAGCCAGCCTGAATTACCTGAAGGGACTACCTCAGGAGGAGCTGGACTACCTGAAGGGCGCCGTGGACAGCCCGGTGAAGCCGAGCAGGTTGGAGGAGGACTGTGTCTCCCAGCATGACGCGTTACTGGACGCCGTAGTGTCGCCCCTCAGTTGTGTAGACTCGGTGTTTAGAGAGAGGCGCGCGCGCCGGCCGCCCACCTCACACGACTTCGTACTGTGCCGCGCCTATACTAGACTGGCGCACGGCGTCTGGGCCCGTATGAGGCCAGACCGCCCATGACACTCTCATTTCTGTGCCGTACTGCACCCTCTGCGAGGAGGCTGTTAGGCCTCGGAGGGCGGCGTCTGGGCCCAAAGGAGGCTTGACCGCACGCGTGATTCGTTTCTGCTTTTCTGCGAGGAGGCTGCCAAGCCTCGGAGGGCCCTCTCCCTGTGGGCCCCTTCATAAGTTGAGGGGTCCCCCCCTAGGCGAGAAACTTCTGCGGGCCCCTCTCAAGAAGGGAGGAGGCCCGCGACCGCCGTGCAGGCAAAGCCCGTCGGAAGGACCTTCGGCACGCGCAACTGCGCTCAAGCCTGTGACCACCACCACCCTCCTCGTCCCTGCCCCCCCTTTCCCCGCCCCACGCGTCCCGCAGAGCCCTTACCCAGCTCGGACGCCCTTCCCCCTCTGTCAGCTCCTTTTTTTCCGATTGCGCATAACACGATAAGGGGTCCTCTTTGGAGTTCCAGGTGCGCTTTGACGCGCATCGGCGGCTTGAGAAAACAGGGCAATGGGAAGGGATGGGCGGGAGGGGCAGGATGTCATCATCATGTGGCGCGAGCGCACCTAGTTTGTCCCCCTGCCCCCCTCGGCCCCCGCCAACTCGTTTCCGGGACTGGTCCGTCGCCGCGGCCCAGCACGGGCTTCAGAGGCTCAAGGCCAGGAGCAACATGCCACAGGATGTTTTTTTTTTTTGCCACGCCAGGAGGTCGCGGGCTCACCTGGGATCTTCCCCCGCCCTCCATACTTGGGCCCCCTTCCCCAATCCCCGCCCCTTCCCGAGGACAAAGTTCGCCGACCGCCTCAGGATCTTGGCCTCCAGCTGGGCCACGGCGAACAATAAGAAGGACGGGGGGTGCGCAGGCAATTTCACCATGCGCCCCTTTCACGAGGATGAGATGAGTAGAAGGAGGACGAAGAAGGAAGGGAGGGACGGAGGGAGGGAGGGAGGGAGGGAGGGATGAGGATCCGCATGCGGGAAGGAAGAGGAGAGGAGGCGGAGGAGGAGGGCGGAGGAGGATAGAGCGGGATGAGGAGGTGCAAGGCTTTAATTTCCCCCGCCCGCCCCCCTCCAATCATTTGTTCCCTTGCTGGCGATGTGACACGTCACTCACGATCCAGTACGCACTCGAAGCGAGCGTTCTACGTGCGCCCACTATGTATGCATGAGGCCGGGCTGCGTTGAAAACGGCCGCGGAAGGGGGGGACCCCGACCGGCCAGTGCGCAAACGAGGCGACGCGAGGGAGACGGCGCGCGTGCAGGCCTGCAGCCAGGGCAGCCAGTGCACGAGCAGCCATCGGCGACTGGTGCGCCGGAGGCGGAGCAGCAGCCAAAGGGGGACGGGCGAGGCGCGCGAAACGCAGCTGGCCAGGAAGGAGAGAAGAGTACTGACCGAAGAGCGGCGAGGTGCTTGCTCTGGCAAGCTCAGCAGCGCAACCACACGCAAGGATAAAGAGAGGGCGACCGGCTTCCCTCCAAACACACATGCGCACATACATGTTTTGGTCTGTAGCGGCGAGGTGACGACACTGTCGCGATGCGCTAAGCCGGGTCACGCTTGTGCAAACTTGCACCTGGCGTACGGTGCAGGCGTTGGTTAAAGAATCCGCCCAGGAGGCTGCAGACCCTGGAAGATTCCTTCTCGGATTAGGGCGGCGGTGGTATCCATGGCCTATCCGCGATTGGAATCCCACTGGCTTCCAGACCCTGGATTCCTTATCTAAGGGTTCCTTATCCAATGCCCCCACCGTCCGCAGCCATTTTGGCTCAAGCCGTTCTGGGCTCAAGCTTTGCTTGAGTCTTCCGCGCGCGTCGGTTCAGAGCGGCTTCGCGCGCGGGGGCCAGTCGGTTGATGCAGATTGCCTGCTCCCCCGAGTGCCTGGGTGCGGTGGCCGAGGCGTTCACAGGCAAGCAGGTTCAGGTGCTCGTGCTCCGCGATGCCGACATCGTCGAGCTTGCGATCGCCAAGACCCTGCGAGACGAGGAGTCGTGTTCGGCGCCTGTCAAGCAGGGAGTTGAGGCTACGGTCAAGGAGCAGATCCTCAAACTCTTCGGCTTCGGGTCTGTACCCAAGGGTTCGGTGGCCCCGCCAGCCGCCGTCGCCAGCACTTCGGGAGTACAAGAAGCTGCAGGCGCAGGCGCGCTCGGAGGGGCCCCAGGTGAAGCCACCCACCCCGCCGCCAGCACCAGGGTGTCAGAAGGTGCTGGCGCGGGAGCCGCGGGTGGCTCACCAGGAGCCCTGGCTGGCTCGGGAGACGCCAGCCCTTGCCACGGAACCGCCTGCGTCCAGCGTGAGCGCTCCAACGCGAGAGCAGGCGGACAGGAAGAACCAGACCTTGCTTCACCTGCAGTTGGACCGCATCTCCTCGCAGCAGGAGGCGCTGGCCCAGGCGGTGAAGGAGCTGCAGCAGAAGAAAGCAAGTCCCTCGCCTCGGAGGGTGTCGGCTCCGGCGTCGTGTTCGGCGCCTTCGCAGGGGACCCTCAAGAAGCGGCGTTGGCGCCGGAAGAGGGCCAAGAAGAAGGAGGAGCTGGAGCTGGAGCCGGACACACCACCACCTTGGAGGAGGTCGCCCCCGTGGAGGCGGTGAAGACCTTCGCCTTGGATGTGCTCGACGAGGGGATCAGCACTGAGGGCGAAGAAGTGGCGGCGCAGCAGGCTGCCCCTGCCGCCGGCCTTCGCACGCTCAGCGACAAGGACAAGGAGGAGCTTAAAAAGCAGCGGAAGCTGCTCGACGTGGAGCGCAGCCTTCGCAGGCCTGGCTGGGAGAAGGACCCAGACACGGTGCCGCTGGAGGTGCCCAACGCAGAGCACCAGCGCGCGGGCCTCGAGTGGATCTGGGAGCAACTCGTAGCCAGGGCGAAGGATCACAGAGCCCGCTTCCCAGAGGAGTGGGACTGAGGGCGCCTTTTCGGGCCAGGCTGCGTTGTAGAGCGGCTTGGCCCCCTTTTCTCCTCTCAGGGTCGCGCTCACAGGTGTTTCTCTCGTGCGTTGCGCGTCCTTGACTCGGACAGCTATCCCCCTTGATGAGCTGCGGCGGTGGCGCTGCGGTATGCGAGTGGCATAGGCTGCCAGGGGCCCTGCGCGGCTGCGCTGCGCTTTCGGGGTTTCTGCCTGCATGGTTTTCTCTGTGAATTTCAGTTCATTCATGGATGTGGCGACAAAAAAAATGCCCCCACCGTAACAGATGGGTGGACTGGATGGTGGCAGTCGCTTACAAAAGAACGCGCGGGCGCTTCTGTCCGCGGAAAATGCCACCACGGCCATGCAAATGCAATGTAGCTGAGCACGCCAGGCAGACAAGAGCGGAAGGGCAGAAAGAGACGACGTGCGACAAAAGCGCGGCGTTCATGAGCCCACATCGGCGGACAGTGCGAATGGTGCCGATGCTGCCTGGCTGTAAGGGCGCACGGACAATATGAAAAGACAAAGACCACATCAGTACGGCAGTTGGGAGGCCATGTCCACATGGAGGCTTTCTCCGAAGGGCTTAGGCGACCCGTCCTTCTCCTCTCTCCTCCGTCCTTCTCCTTTTCCCTCCTCCTCCTCCTCCTCCTCCTCCTCCTCCCCCTCCTCGCTCCTCGCCCTTCCCTCCTCGGATCGCCTACGGCCCCGGAGGGCGCCGTCCATGTCCGCGAGCTCACCGCATCAGCCACAACGCTGCTCAACTCCTGGAGAGCGGCAGCGAGGCGGACAAATGACGGAGCTGAGCAGAAGGGCGTGTGCCAGCGTCGGCACCGGCCACGCGCGAGAGCGGCGCCGGCTCCAGGGCGATGGCGCCCGAGCCCTGAAGGTGCAGACCTTAAGGGGGGGAAAACCACCCGGACCAGACAACCGGCGTTTACTAAACGGCCTTGGGCATTCATTACACAGCCCTGCCTTGTTCGATTATTTCTTCCTTCTGTGGGCGCGTTTACTAAACGACTTCGCGTGTCGGGGTGGTTATTATGGGGGTGGACTTTCTGACTTCTAAGACCTGTTCACCGCGCGGGACAAGTCGCGCAAAAAGTCAGGCCGCGACGCGCGTCGCCTGCGATGGAAGGCTGCGCCCTTCCCGCGGGCGGCCACGCCCGACAAGCGGAGGGAGGTCCCCCAGCAGGCCTGGCCCCCCTGCAGGCGGGCGCCGCCTGGCGGGGGAAGGAAGCCCCTGGCGCGAGCCGGCCGTTTCAGGAAAGGCGCGTGCTCGAATCGCCCGGCGACTGGCGTTCAGTGGTCGCGTGTTCTTCTTTTCTTCTCCCGCCGAAGGATAATCTGCACTTGCTTACCTCGCATCGCGCAGTTCACGCCATATAGCTCACACCACAAAGCTCACGTCACATAGCTCACACTGCATAACTTGCACCGCGCAGCTTTCACCTCCGCGGCGCAGCAACTCTCAAAGCTTGGGGCCCACGCTGGCAGACATCTTCGGCGGCGAGCGACGGGGGGAAGCGAGCAGGAACGGGCCTTCTCAGAGGTCGGCGGGACTGCTCAGGAGCCCTCGCACCTTCTGAGAAGCGATCCGCGCCTTCGGGGAAGGCTTCGAAAACCTTTCGCAAGGACGACGGAATTCCGAGCCTTATGAGAAGGCCCGCCCCTTCTCGCCCCCAGCCTGGGTTCGCCGCCGAATCTCGCCCACAACGAGAGGGGGCAGGGGGCGGCGAAGTGATCCGCGCCTTCGGCGAAGGCTTAGAAACCCTTCATGAGGCCGAGGGAACTCCGAGCCTTCTGAGAAGGCCCGCCCCTCCTCACTTGCCCCTTGGGTTCGCCGCCGAATCTGGCGAGGCGCCAGTCGGCCCTGGCCCTCGGCAGCAGCGGCAGCAGGAGGAGGGCGTCGCCCTTGAAAGGAAGCAGGGAGGACAAGGGGAAGAGGAGAGACAGCGGATGGACAATCTATTCGAATCCTTGCACATTCGAGGGGGAATCCGAATCGCCCCCACGCCCCCGACGTCAACGTTGATCTCAGTAAAGGCGGCGCTTTGGGGCTTGAATATTTCTGCCCCCTCGCGCCCCCCCCCCCGCCGTCATGCCGTCAAATTAAATTCAATGTCGGGGGGTCTGCGGGGCATCTAGGGCCACAGGGTTCGAATATAATGTCCATGTGCGGGGGGGCTCGAGGCCGGGCGCCCCGCGCGCCAGCGTCGGGCGTCAGCTTGAAAGCCCCCGGCCGCGGGCAGGGTGCGCAGGCTGGGCACTAGGGCGCCCGCCTTCGAGTAGGTGTTCGCGCCGGGCGGCCCGGGCGGGCGCGCGGCCCCGACAACGCGGGCCTCGTCGAGCCGCGCGGGGGGAAGGAAGGGAGGCGGAGGAGGAGGCGGAAAGAGGGAGGAAGGGGGGAGGAGAAAAGACGGAAGGAGGAGGGCGAGGCCTGCACCGGCGGAGCCAGCTGGACCAGCAGCCGCAGCAGCTGCGGCCAGGCTGGCAGCCGCAGCGGCGGCCGGCAGCAAAACCACTCCCGCCAGAGCTCGGGCAGCCAGTTCTGCACGTGCGCAGGTGGCCCAGGAAAAGTTCGAGGGAGCAGCTGGCGCCAGCAGCAAGCCGCCAGACGGCAAGCCGAAAGGGTAACAACACCCTGCCGCATCGCACGCGCACGTGAATGGCGGGACCCGCATGATTTTGATGCGATTCAGGGGGCGCAGCAGGCGGGTCTCACTACCACGTGAACAACATGGACTACGCGGCAACCAACATCTTGACAGCTATTCCGTCGAATGCTGACCCCGAGGATGCAGACTTCCTTTCCGACGACCAGAACATGATTGATTGTGATTGGGACGGAAACACCTCCTGGACATCGTGGTCATGTCACCGAAGGAATTGTTTTTGTTAGTCGATCAATGCTCCGTGGAGCTGGGACACCAGCACATCATCTTCGGCGTTGGCTGCATGGTCCACGTCTGGGCCGATGTCGCCGTCAACGGGCCTCCCGTTCACCCGTCCAGCGAAGGCTTCGACGCCGTCACGGAAGGAACCACATCAGGTCGGTGCCCCCGAGGAGAGGGCCAGGACCGCCGCGCGGCAGCCCGTGGTCGCGAATCGGCTGGAGGGGCAGAGCACGTCACAAGAACTCGCGGTTCTGCGTCGATTTACTCAGAGGGGATCGGGGGCACTCCCTCAGGCTGCCGCCAGGCAGCGGTGAGGAGGCGCTGACGCTACCCCCTCCCCCGTGGCGCCCGCTGCGGGGGGCATCCATCAAACGTAACCACGGCCAGCAGACCCAAGGTGAACTCGCTCGGCCGCTCCGCGGGATCACAGGTACTTAGATGGCGCCTGCAGGCAGCCAGTGGATGACGAGATGGCCCATCGCGCCGCGAACTTCCATGTGGCGAAGATGCTGCTGGCGGAGACCATCTGCGACAGGGCGCGGAGAGAGCGCAGGCGGTCGCGCCAGAGCGACAACGACGTTTACAAAGAGATGGCCCCCCAGAGCCCGAGAGCGCTTGCTGGAGAAATTTGCCGACGTCGTGCGCAGCAGCAGGAAGTCCAAGAGTAGCTGGCCGACCTCGCGGCGATTATTGGAAGTGCCTCCTACTTTAACAGTAATGGCCACGCAGCCACGCAGCCTGGCGCGACCTCGGCAGCCGCAAGGGAGACGGCACCTCCGACGGCGCCGGTTGCGGCAACCGGCGCGGGGCTTCGAGCTCAGCGGTACTTCGGCCAGCTGCGGAGCGGCGTCGGCACATGCCGCCCAGGGCCAGTCCAACGCCCAGCATGCGATTTCTTCTGCAGGAAGGAACGGAGGGAGGTCAAGTCGGCTCGAACCAAACGGTTGAAAAAGGTTTGGAGGTTGCGGACCTCGAATGCGAAGTCCTGGGCCGGCTTCCAGGACTCCTTCGAGTGGCAGTGTACTTGTGGGGGGGCGCTGATCTTGTTGCTGGCCAAGAAGCTCGGCTCATGCCTGGGGGCCAGATCGACTCTGCAAGAAGCTGGCTGGCCTTTAGGGGCCTCAGTCCTCGCCTCGTTCCTGCAGTCGTCGCAGGAGATCATGCCCTTGCGAACTCAGCAGGGGTCCTCACAGGCATGAGGCGACGCGCGCACGCTCGGGCAGTTGACGAAGATCAACTGGGGATTGGGCCAGTTGCGGCTGGGCGAGTAGCAGTGCAGTTTGCTGCAGCAGCCGCCCCAACTGGCATCCACTGGGGCTCTGTGCACAAGCGCAGCGGGGCGGTTCAGGTGGTCTCGACGTTTAGTTTCCGAGCCAACTTGGGGAATTATTGCGACGTCTGTGGGCGCCATGAGTTTTTCGAGGGGACTTCTATATTGGGCGCGATCTCGGACGGCCTGCGCAAGTTGCGCGAACTGCTCGGAGCGGCTGGCGTGGCGACGACGAGCCCCGCGTGCAACTGGCAGCGCCTGGGCTTTTGCGCGATCTTTCAAGGGCCCACCAAAGCAGTCGGGTCGGTCGCCGCCATGCGCGCAGCCCCATCAATCATCAATCACCTCATGTCTCCGCCCCTTCTGGAGATCCAGCGATTTGACCGCACCTGGGAGGCCCGCGTTCGGCGGACTTGGGCCCCGCCCCCAACGATGCGACCCGTCGGGTGCATCAGCCAAGCCCCAGTTGTCAACTGGTCCTGGGGCCCCGGGGGGGCGCCTGACCATTCGAATTTAAAATCGGCATTGGCGGAGCGGCTTGGGCACGCGGAGACCAACTTGCGCGATCAGTTTGACATTTTTGACGCCCAGAGAGACAGGCGCGTTGGACGAGCAGAAGGATTCAAGAGGGCCCCCGTTCAGCTCCGCGCCATCCTGATTGGGAAATAGCACGACGACAGCGCCCGCGGAGCTTCGCGCGTGGAGAGCCCGGGAACCCCCATTGGGAGGGCAAGGCAGTTCTGGAATCATCCCGAAGCGTGTCCAGTGAACTACTCGGCGGAATCTCAGGTTGCGTTGAGCAGCTAGATCGGGGTTTCGTGGATCCACGGCGCGGCGCCCTCGATGTCGATGCCCAGCAGCTGGGCGGCGAGCTGCCACCAGGAAGTTCCGAATTCGAGCGGTCGGCGACTGCGCCGGCAGATGCCGCAGAAAAATAGCCTTGCAAATGTCGGGAATGCGTTGGAGCAGCAGGGGGATGTGGGCCTGGGAGTCGGCCGAGGCGGGGGCGAACTGGCGCGCGGGCGCATCGGAGACACCAACAGGCCCCGATGGGCTCCTGTGACAAGGCGACGAGGCAGTCGACCACCT